AGGGTGGGAAGAAGCTCCTATGAAGAGCTAGCAGAGTAAAGACAAAGATGATCAATTTTGAGGAAAGTCCCAGTCACATGTAGCTGAAGCGCGACTCGTGATTCATCCCTTCACTTTCATATAGATTTCTGACACACACACACACACACACACACACACACGCACACACACACACACACACACACACACACACACACACACACACACACACACACACACACACACACACACACACACACACACACACACACACACACACACAGCTCTGCTGTGGAGCAGCAGAACAAAAGAAACAAGAGTGCACACTCCACAACAGTCAATTCTGAAATATAGTTTCACATAAAAATTATCTGAAGAACTCTATTCTACAAACATTTGTGCACACACTTGTCATGGTGAGTAACAGATTTGATTTTTTAAAACTCCAAAGCTGAATAACTTCATTCCTCACCCAACTCTGAGGGGAAGTAAAACAGCTGATAGAAAAATAAAGAAAGAGGAAAATAAACAGATCAGCTGTATTTACTCTGACTGAGCTAAACTCATCGTTTAGACTCCAAAATTAACACAGAGGAAGAAAGGGAGACAGAAGAAAAGAATGGAGGATGTTTGTTTTGCAAGTTGTCACTTATGAAGGGATTTCAATTCCTCTCTCAGATTTCAATTCATGTGAGAAAGTGGTTTGTGGGAACAGAATGGTGGCTAATTTTTTGTAAGCGCAACTACTTTTTAAACAACTTCACATTAAAGATAAATCTGAGAAAAACTACTAAATATTGTCAGTGAACAGAGTTTATAATGATTGACTGTTTCAGTTTAATTATCTGTCCCGTTTCTTTCACTGGAGTCAATGTTTTGATGAGAAAAATAAATAATTCTACTATTCTAAGTGTTTTTATCATAGTTCAAAATATTTTTCCTGATGGGACCATTAAAGCAGTTATAACAAATTTGGAAAATAAATTAGATTAAAACATCTTTTTCATGCCTCTTAACAATGTTCTAACATAGCATACCTATAAATATATTGTGGGATAAAAAAATTATAATAATAATGTGGTTCTCTTGCATTTATCTAAAAACCTCAGCCAGTAACGTGGCTCGGATCGAAAGCAACCATTGGACCATCCGGTTGTCTGCTTCACCGAACCGCCATACTTCCTCGGGTCCTCCATTCATTACGCACTTGCATTTTTTGTTACAGAACAGCTGGTTGCTACCACTTCAACTTTAGGACAAACTACCAGAGTCCAAAAAAGAAAAACACCAGACAATTGCCTCTTGAAAATGGCAACTGGTATTTAGCGCTCTCATTTCCTCTGAAATTGTGGGTTTCTGATGGATGCAGATCCAGGGAAGATACCCAAGGGGAGGGGTGAGTGTTCTGTGACCGTGGGTGTTTCTCAATGCCAAGGAACCTCACCTTGATGTTTTGGTCCTGGCCCGGTTGCCTAGGAGATACGCAATCACTAACCACCAAGGCATGTTCCAATGTTCATGTTCTAGCGAGGCGTCTGTTCTAAGGTTGTTAGCCGTTTAGCTAGCTGAGCAAGGATACACGGGAAGTGTCTTCTAGAATAGCCTTGGTCAAAAACTTCTCAGAATACACTGCGGTATTTTCAAAAGGATGACAGATTAGAAGCTGGCAGCTACTTCGGGGGCAAATTTCAAGTTTAAATGTAAGTCAGCTAATTGTAGCTATCGAGCCAGTTACCAGATTTAAAAAAAATATCCAAAGCAGTTATCAGTGGTTGGTTAGGTGCTTAGTAGTTGCATCTTCGGTGGCTAGCACGTAGTAACTCACATATTTAATTTAACAAATATACACTACTTAAAATGTAAAAGTCTCGTTAAATATTTATATAGAATCTTATACGTATAAAATATAATGTTATCTCCCTTGTAACGTGATGCAAGTCTGTTCCATTTAACCATTTTCTTTGACCAAGGAAGGTCAGTCTCCTCACAAGCAAGGCGCCTGGCCTCTCAAGACATCGCCTTGCGAGACAACCAAATCCCACGACATTCCCACCCTGGAACATGCTCTACACTGGTTTTACACTGTCAGGCACAGTCATCTCATGTTTTCACCTAGGGATGCACCGATACCGGCACCGATACGATACCAATACCAGTATCGGTAAAAGTTAACCGATACCAGGAACCGATGCCAACGCAGTTGCTTGAAAATGGCTTCACTGTAACTTGTCATTTCTGTTCACCTAATATTTTAGTTTTGTGATGATTTCCATTCCAGTGTTTCCCTTACATAGGCGTAGCCGTGGCGGCCCGCCACGGATGATATCCCAGCGCCACGCCCACAAGATCCCAAGCTTTATTTATTTTTTTATTTTTTTGCGCCGTTTCCCGAAGAAGCAGCGGGAACTACTCGGCTGTTGCTTGTGATCACAGCCGGCAGGCAGCAAGGAGGAGGAGGCAGGGCAGGGTGATTACAGCTAGGGATGAGCTGGGTACTCGTTTCAGACTAGTATGCGGTACGGATAAAGCATTTTTGACGAATACGAGCATGAAACGAGTAAAACTCGTAAATATTTGTAATCGTGCTGAAGGAAAACCCTCATTGGGTAACTGACAGTCTTCACACTCTGTGATTGGCCAGTCACATAGAGCGCCCGCCCCTCCCTACACACAAAACTGCAGCCGGGAGCTCAGTCCGGCCGGCCCATCCACGCACACACACAGACAGTAACGGATCTTTCTGTGCTTGCTTCACTGTAGCTCACGTTTCTTCAGTACTCCCTAGGTTTTCTTCAGCTCGACTCTTTTTCGGTTGAATATTTAAGTTACTTTTATCGTAACGTACATGGTGCATTTGACAAGACAGAGCTGAAAACGGCTCGTGCATACATCGGTCACTGCCTCCGCTCCGGTCGGGTTTTTTTTTTTTAACTCTCTCCCTCTCTCTCTCACACACACACATCAGTCAACGTTGTTTTGTTGTGTGGGAAAAATGCCAACAACGTTAGGAAAAAAACCAGTTTAATCAAATTTAAATAAAATGGTTCTAGTATTTCATATTTATAGTTCCTACTGCATGAGTTCAGATGTATTAATTCATGCACTTAAATATTAATGTTCTGATTTTACTGAAAAACTTGTTCTGTAACAGTTCCTTTACTATTGTGATCAAAAATATTTAATCTCAATTCTGAGGCTGCTCTGTAAACAGTTTTCAAATAAACAATACACATAGCAACTTCTGATCAATCCATATCAATTTCAGATTTAAAATAATGTACTGATGTAAACCACACCCACTAATTTCCAAATAATAAATAAGAGGTGCATTCATCTGTGTTTCTCCTTTGATCTGCATTAGTGATATTTTCAGCACCACAACAATGAAGCAAAGAAACAGATTCCTGAGTTGGTTAGTAATTTTATTTATTAGGTGCATCTGACCTGTTCTATTTTTCTCTGAAATGAGATCAAATCAGTGGGTTGTCTCCAATCTGCACTAGAAAAATGTACTTTATTATAACGTTCACTGTAATCATCTTGATGTTCTTAACAAATACATTAAATCAAAGATATTGGTCAGTAATGCCAAATATGTAAATTTGTGTTTCAGTCATTTTTATACTGGCTTAAAAATACTTCATTTAGTCTACTAAGCAGGGATGTAGAACGTGTTTAATAGGCCAGCCCAGTAATGATCTTGGACCAAAATAAAGAGGGGCAGAAGGAGATGTTTTTCCAGACACCAAGAAAAATTAAATTCCAAATCCCCCCTGCAAAGTGTGTCACTGAGAGTTTAAAACTAAATTTATTTTTGTGCAAATATTGTTATATTCACCTTTAATATTATGAAAATGCAGCAGTTGCTGGATTGGTGTAGTTCAAAGTGGAGTGCATCAAATTAAACAATATTAACATAAAGGTGAGACGTGTCATAACCCCCCCCCCCCCCCCACCACCACCACCACCACCACCACCACCACAGCTGAAAAAATTCCTAGGGGAAACACTGCATTCATATATTTTACTCTTTATCTACCTCACAGCCTTTTCCTGTTGAAAGCAGAGAAGAAAATAAAATCTGTATTCCAAATCATTGCCTTTTTTTTGTATGATAGAAGTATCGGTATTGGTAATCGGTATCGGCAAGTACTCAGATCCCAGTATCGGTTTCGTGTCGGTTTGGAAAAAAGTGGTATCGTTGCATCCCTATTTTCACCCAGTGATTAAAATCAGGTGTGTTGAAACAGAGAAGGTGTACTCATCCACTATATCAAACCAGGTGTGTTGGTAACAGGTAAACATTCTGATAGTAACTTTAGACAAGCTGTCTGTCTGTTCTAAATTTTAAAGCTTTCTCTGCTTCAACACACCTGACTTTGATCAGTGGATAAAGACTGGGCTTCTGTAGAACTTGATGACCAGCTGAACATGAATCCGGTGTTTTGGAGAAGGGAAACAGTCAAAACATGCTGGATAGACATCCTCCAAGACCACTGATTTACATCCATTTCATAAGAAGTCTGGACAAATGCTGCCGATCGCACATCTACAGTTGTGTAATACTGAAAACTACAAAGAGGAACACAAAACACGTCAACTGTTTTCTGTATAAAATCATCTTTAACACGTGTTAAACGTTTGAGACACAACCCCCTGCTCGTTTACAAATATTGACGATGCTCAACCTGGTTGTTACACTAAATTCCCCTAAATATAACATTTTGGAGCTATAATTGTGACATTTAGACACCAGAGAGGCGTAAATCAGTATAAAAGGCCACAGTTTACAACTAACTATCGTGATAAACTCGTTTTAAAGAGCCATAAAACCTACAACTCTGAAAACACGCCAGCGCTGTGGGAACCACCGAAATTCCCAGAGACACAAAAAATAAAAAAATAAAAATTCCCGTAAAACAATAACCCACTCCGGATTATTTCGCTGCTTTTTATTAAAATATAATTGAGGGAAAATGTAACATTAAAATAAAGGTTCCCTAGCGTGTTGCTCTACTCACCGTTAGCGAACAGAAAATCCGTCCCAAGAAGGAAAAGAGGGAAAATCGTGTGGATTTTAGTCAAACGCCGCATGTTCCGTTTAACTAATGTTTACTTTCCCTTCAGCTCCTACGTTAAAGAGGCAGGCAGGCGGTGGGTACCCCTTTAGAGGCGTGGAGAGGCAGCAGATGGCTGTTCTGCTGGATCCTTACAACTGTCGGAGCTCCGGGAGCTTCCTGACTCATTCAGAGAAAAGCACTGCGGTCACGTCGCCTGCACATTCACGCTGTTTCTGAGATAGCGCCCTCTAAAGGATGGATGTTTAGCTGCAACTACACTTTCAAAACATTACCTCGTGTCAAATATTAGTAACATTTTAGAAAGTTAGACATTTGAAAGATAACATTTTATTACAGCAACATAAAAATAATTCATTTTACAGCAAAGCTTGTTACACCAAACAATAAATAATTGGTCAAAGTCTTGTTCCATCTAAAATATGTTTTTATTTGTGTTCCTTTGCACACACCTGTAGCCTAGACATCTAGACAGACCGTAGCAGAAGAAAAGTGGTTTTGCTCTGCTCGTCGGTCCATGAGAACTTCAGCAGGCCTGGTGATCTTCTTAGTCCCTACACCCCGAGCAGGTCCCTGAGGTCCAGTGATCAACGCCTACTGGTTGTGCAGCGCACCAGGCTAAAGACTCCAGCAGGTTGAAAAAATAAGAAAGCCCAAAACAGTCAGGAATAAGCTCAGTGTGATGTTGGGACATAGGATTACTTGAACCGAGTGGATATTTTTTGACTATAGCACAGATTATGACTATAAGTCAGCAAAGGAAAGACTGAAATTAGACTTTTGACTTCATGAAACTAGTTTTGTTTTGCTGCTTTGTTTGCAGTTTTCTCTGTGAGTTTTGCACTCAGAATAATGGTACTTATGTTGTTTGAAAGAAGAAAGTCGGGATTTTAATTCAAACTGCTGCTTCCGTGTATACATGTGTGTTAAGTATGTTTGCAGTTTGCACATTTTGGTAAATATCAAGCATGTTTTGGAACAACTTTGTTTCCGGAAGTGCTTGTGGACCTGGTACTGGGTCGGTTGGGCTCAAGTTGTGTGATGCAATGGTATTTTGGCATCCTCTAGTGGTGATTTGTGACTAGCGCATCTGAAAACAAAGTTGTAAAAATGTGCCTCACCAAAAAAAATAAATAAAAAATAGTGATAATCACCAGCCTCCACTGATCTATCTGTCTGAGGTTGTGGCCAGACTATATATTTATTTATAGGATGGCTTGCCAGGCAAATGCATTCACTTATAATGTTGCTTTTGTAAAGAACATTTGGACATCCTCAGATGAACCACCCCACAACAATTTCACTGACCAGGACACAGTGGTGATACACGGCTCATGAATTCAGTGCAGGATGGAGTTATTAACAAGTCCTTCATGTCTGCAGCCATCCAGGTTTGAAATCTTATGCCAGTGTTGGAGGAGCTGTCAGACATTTGTTTTCCAACAGGATGAATAAAGTTAATTTTTAACAGTCTGAGCAAAATGTAAATAGTAAAGAACGTTGTGGACATTTGAAATGATGAATACACTTTCTTAAAGTCATATTTTACTAGAGCATCTTGCAACAGTGCATCTCGTGTGTCCACAGCCTTCCCTTTTTCCTCATGTTCCTCTCTCATTTTTGGTGTTCAGTTCAGTGAAAATTAGTGGTAACGCTAGTGCTTTTTTTCCCTTTAATGTTGCCAGGGTATTTGTTGTAGTAATGTATATTTACCGGTAACAATTGGATTGTTGTTGTGTCCTGGTGGGTCAAATTGTTGGCCCATACATTTGGCCACCTCTTTAGATCTTGCACAGTGTGGCTTGAAGCCCTCCTTTGTGATGAACGACAAACATATAATGTGGCCTGGGCTAAGACAGAGCCCAGACACCTTGCAAGAAAAACTCATTCTGGCCACTTGTATCCGCGATCTTGTTCTTACGATCGCTGTTCAAAGCTCATGACCACAGATGTGGACTGGAACATAGATCGACTAAATCGAGAGCTTTGCTTTCTGGCTCAGCTCTCTCTTCACCACGACCGACCGGTACAACGCCCGCATCCTGTAGAAGCAACACAGATCTCCCTCTCCATTTTACCCTCATACTGCTAAACATGAGTGGTAAAATTCAAATAACTGTTCAGATTCAGATGCTGTGAGGTACATGTGTATTTTTGACGCTTTTATTGTGAAGGATTGAAGGAAGTAGGATGTAGAATTCCACAGAAGAAGCTGCTGTTAAAAAAATCAAATGACTCCTGTAAAATTATAGGTCTGTAGATTTTAGGGGTGCTTCCTTGGACTTAAAATGGTCTGCTTTTGACTTTCTCGTTGTAGTGTTTGAACGTATTCCTTCCAAATTGTCGTTTTAAGCCATTGTTCAAATAAACTATCATTTAAAATTAGATTCTCATTCCTAGGATCAATTTCTTCTAAAAAATATCACCTGCTTTTAAAGCTATGGTAGTTTAAGTATCTTGAGGTCTTGTTCACAAGTGAAAGATGTATCGGGAGATCGATGGGCGGATTGGTGCTGCGTCTGCAGTGAAGCGGACATTGTACCTGTCTGTTGTGTAAAGAGAGAACTGAGCCGGGAGGCAAACCTCTCAGTTTACCAGTCAGTCTACGTTCCAACCCTCACCTATGGTCACAAGCTTTGGGTAATCACAGAAAGAACGAGATCGCGGATACAAGCGGCCGAAATGAGTTTTCTCTGGAAGCTGGCTGGGCTCTCCCTTAGAGATGGGGTGAGCAGCTCAGTCATCTGGGAGGGGCTCGGATCTGCTGCTCTAGATCTGCTGCTTTTCCACATCGAGAGGAGACAGTTGAGGTGGTTCGGGCATCTGGCCAGGATGCCTCCTGGACACCTCTCTGGTGAGGTTTTCCGGGCACGTCCACCCAGGAGAAGACCTAAAGGAAGACCCTGGACACGCTAGAGGCACAATGTCTCTCGGCTGGCCAGGGAACACCTTAGGATTCCTCCGGAGGAGCTGGCCCAAGTGGCTGAGGAGAGGGAATTCTGGGCCTCCCTGCTAAGGCTACTGCCCCCGCGACCTGACTCCAGATAAGAAGAGAATGAATAGATGGATGGCACAGCCCTGCCCATGCATTTTATGTCATCACTAAAATTCTCATTTTGCATGCCAGAAACCTGAAATAGCTGTATTCTAGAAGATACTGTGAATTAGTACAAGTCAACACAACATTCCTGTAAAACGTAACAAATAAAAAACTGTTTATCAGATCGGACTTTAACATAATTTTTAATTAATTTCTACTTATTTCTGTCCTTTAAAAATCTTACGATTTATCATGAGTTTAGATATGTCCAACAGCACTTGAATGCATCAATTTTCTGTGAAAAGAGAATAGACTTGCATCCTATACATATTAGTAAAAACAAAGTTTAGCATTGTTCTGACAAACTTTTCACACAGCACTTAAAATCAAAAAGTCCAAATGGAGAGTTACGGCTTCCCTTGTGGGACTCTTCCCACATCCTGACGTCAGCTGAACACAAACGTTTTCCTCCCCATTCCAGCGTCCAGCAGAAGCATTCCCACATCTGCTCAACAGCAGCAATCAGAGGTGAGTAAACTCAGCTTTTGTTGCATTGGGATTTGTATGTTTTCAGTTCCTCTGACTGGAATCTGAAGAGGTATTTCAGAGTCCAGTTGATCTGAAAGCCAAGCCTGCTTTTTTAATTCTCATATTACAGCTCATAGCATTCCTGTGTTAAGCAACGGAGACAATCCCATGGAAAACTGCTAAAATCTTCCGATTGACACAAACTTTATTGAGCCACATACAAATCATATTTAGGGTTGATTTGAAGCAGATTCTTACCCCCATCATGTCAACAAAATATTAACATTTCCTAACATTTGACTTAATTAAAGTTAAAATGAATAAATTATTGCCGCATTAATTCGAATTTCTTTACATTTGTGTGATGTCTAAAAACTGCAGGACACATATTTGGTAGAGCGGGCTGAAATCCTTGTCTACGTTACCTGATTTGTCCTGTGAGCCCCAGCTGCTTTTGTCATCATGTCAGCAGCTTTTGGCCCCAACCTCAAAGGTCCTGCAAAACGGAAACCCCTCACAATAACTCGCTTCGTAAAGAAACCACTGGATAACTTGGGGAATAATTCCGGCTTTCTTGTTGCGGTAATGAGAAGATACATTTTTTGGCTTTGCCCATTCACCAGACTGCAGCCAGCTGTTATTGCAGACGGAGCAGAGGGCTTGGTATCACACTGAGATGAGTGAAATAGCTGATGTTTAAAGTTCTGGAGCTGTTTGTGTTTGGTGATGTTAAAAATATGCCTTCAAACCGGATTCATCATATTTATTACGTAAGAATTTAGGATTTTAAAGGAAGTTTTTGACTCTTTTTAGAAAATGTATCCTGCCGTTCAAAAGACATTTAAAAAATCTTTCTTCAAGCATTGAGTTCATTTTCTGTTTAAGTGATAAGGTCATGTGCTGTCAGTTGAGCCATCATCATTTCATCAGTCATCTCATGTAATCATTCGTGAAGCGGCCTCCCTAGAAAGTTCAACTCATTGAAGGTGTGGTTAACTGAAAATGATTTTTTATGATTATTTCTGATTATAATCAGTCACTGATATTTTCATGCAGGCTGAACATGAAAATACTCTCCTACACCTATTTCCTGCATTCGCCTCTGATAGAAAGTAGATGGTGCAACTCTAGGATTAGAAAAGCCTGACAGATCTATGTTACGCTGAAACTTAACCAGTGATGGGAATAACAGTGTTTAAAACAACAGTAGTATAAGCCAACCATTAGCATTAGCAACTTCACCACATAGCAGAACTCCTCCAGGCTTATGTTATTTGTGGAGATAAAACATCCACATTGAAAGTCAGGGGTAGAATTGTGTTGCTGTTATCCAATCCAAGGCGTGATGTCCAAATATTGGGAAATAAGACTCCAAAGCACAGCTGTGATGTGCACTGACATCATTTACATTGACACCCCGTGGTCTGGCACTGCTTATTGGCGTTGCCGAAATGGCCGGTCGCCATTTTGGATGCGTCTTCATTTACCCCTGGTGTGTTTATTTTTCTTCTGAGGAAGGTGTTTACCCAACAAAAAAAAATACAATTTATTATGACTACAGTTGGGTTTGGAGAGTGAGGAGACCCACCCAATATGGCAGCGACACTGTTACTCTCTCCAGCGCCCATTGGGGTGTGTCTATTGTGATGTGCACCACTTCAATTCCTTGAAATGGTGAAATAAAATACTGATATTATTTCCTACTAGAGATCATTGCAAATGTATTCATTAAATACATTTAAGATGGATTTTATCAATACATGTAAGATTGTGGAATGCCCTTAACAGAGAAATCAAAGAATCAAACTTGCATGCTATATTTAAAAAATGTATAAAATCAAATGTATTAAGTAATTATAAAAAGGTAAATTAAAATGTCACTGAAAATAAATAAAAATTATAAAGGGACTGAGGTTATATTGTGTATTTTCTTTTGTAAAAAGGGGCAGAAATTATAAGATTTTTCTTCTATCTGCCCCTTTTCATTCATTTTTTTCAGTATGTTTATGTACTGTATTTGCTTGTGTTTATTTTATGAATTTTGAATTAAATAAAATTTAGAAAAAAATAAGTGACCCACACCTTCAATCTCATTTTGACAGAAAACATAATAAAATGCAGCCATTTGCTTAAGAAAACATTTATGTGAGTTTTATTAATTACTAGGATATTTAAAAAGTGTTTCATAGTTCTTTTATTTTACTTTAACATTTTTATGCAAACTTCACTCAGTCGCTGCACAAAAGAAGACGTTTGCATAAACTACAACAATTTTGTCTGTACGGACTTATAACCACAACTAATTAGCTAGGCTTGAGCATCTGTTTCCTGTTTTACTTTGAAAGTCACTGATCTGTGTGCCTTGTTCAGTTTTACTTCCTGCCATGGTTTCCTGAAGGATTCTCACATCTTCTTTATGTGTTTTTATGTGTGTGTTTCAGTTGGGCTCAGGGTGCTACCTGTGCCCTTGTTCCTTTTTTCTCAGGCCATTTTGTTGGCTTTGGTTCCTCTTTGAACTTTATTTTCCTTTTTTGTTTTGCTGACTGGTGCTGACTTTGTTTTTCCCCTTTCTCCCTGTGTGTTTGTTCACTTTAGAAACTTTGTTTTTGCTTTTATAATGCAACGCTTGGCCTCCTCGTGCTGAAATGCCCTTTGAGTAACGACAAAACCCCCGACTTGAATCATTTTGCAGAACTGCTGAGGCTTAAAGGAGCTTGATAAGCACATTTAGGCTGAGTGCTTTTTCAGTTTAATCAGATAAAAGTTTGCACTGTAAATTTACTCAATTAGATATAGAAGTAAATGCTTTTAGTAGAAAAATGTATCTCTGGGGTTGACATTTGCCACATTAGGAAACACCTCCTTCTTTACTTGTTTTATATTACAATTATAATTCTAACTTGGTCTGGTAGTCAACAAAGTTATTAAAGGAAAATCAAGAGGAAAGGCATCAAATATTAATGAAATAAAAAGTTGGACTATGAAACTATTGTGAGAATATCACCTGCAGCTCATCCAGCAAAGATTAAAGGTCCTGTATGCAAAATACAATTACTGGAGCTTTTGACCATGTTGTATTGTTATTTCATCGTGAAAACACCCTCAAAGCTGTTCTTGGCTTCACTCAGGCATGTCAGCTGCCTCTCTTCAGCTCTCGTAAACTCAGCTAGGCTGTTGCAAAAACCTGAGTGGAGTGTTGTTGCGTCATTGTGTCCTGCTCCTCCTCATCTAGGTATTTTCTAGTGCAGATCCCTCCTCCCCTGGACTGTAAATACTAACACCCACTCACTCCATGTAGCTAGCAGGGAGTTTCATCTCCACACTCTTTCTGTCTGCACTTTAAATAATCCCTAGAACCCCCAAAAATGCATTATGTCAGCGAAAAAACGGGATCCCTTTCCTGAAGATGTTAATCAGCAGCAATGGTTGGCTATTAGCTTCAGGAGTTCTCAGTTTGTTTCACAAACTGCTTGCTAAACCACCGTATCGGAGTTGGTTTTAAGATGACTTACATCTTCAAACTGGTGCCATTCCAAAATCAGAATCACTCAATGGATAGGTCAGAGCTTGAGCACAAACAAAATGCCAAATATCATTGCTAAATACCATGATACAGCCCTTCAACATTTCTGACAAAATAATCATGTGAAGAAATAAATAAATGATTTAAATGTTTATAAAAGAACATTTGCACACAGCAATGAAAATATGGGGGTCTGGTTTAATGATGGCAGACTATTTGGTTTTGGCCGTGCTTGAACTTAGTCCATAGGAGCTAAATACTTTTTCTTCAAGCGGAGGCTGTTCGGGAAGTCATTTATGCCAAGTAAGACACACTTGTCAAACATGTTTGCTTTAGCTAAGATATTAGAGCC